ATAGGTAAGAATTATAAAGGTCTAGGATAACAAACGTTGAATATACTTGCTGTATGAGTATAATGAAGAGAAACACCAGTGTTAAATATTTATATATTTATAGTATGAAAATGCAGGAATAAATTATAAAGATTGACAGCAGTGTCTTATTTCCTCTATATATTTCAAAAATATATTGAGGAAATAAATCACAGTTATTTGCAGTAGGTAATATTGTAGAAACAATCTACAATCGACAAAGATAATTTTAAATAATAATTTCAGTTTGTTAAAATAATGGTGTGATTATAATGTAGGAAAAAACCGCAAGTGTCCACAGCTGTTATAGTTAAATATAATTTTGGTAAGTTAATTAATGTGTAATTAATAATTTAGATAACATTTTAGGCCTAAAGAAAAACCTGCAATAGGCAGACGCGCTAAATATTCTGAAATAAAATCATAATATACTTACCTCGCCTGTATTTCATAAAAATAAAAGCATAAGAGTAAACCAGCAATTAATCCGTTTATAACATTTGCCATCATTTACTTTGTTTCATTGCAACCTTCAATTAATAAATCGTACTTCAATCAGTTCAGAGGAAGTAAATAAAGATATATGTACTGCTATCATATAACCTTCCTGTGTGTGACAGAATTCTAGAAATTTGAAAGACCGGATATTGACTAAGCACACTAGGGTGAAATCCCACTTAACGGAGAACTCAGTATTACGAGCAAACACACGTATACGTCCACATATTAAAATTATTTAATTTTGTTTATATAAAAGAAATTAGCACATAAAATTCAATTAAATTTTTGACACAAATGAAAGAGGACAGGTTACATTATAATCAAACATAATAAGCTTAAACGTTTATGCGTGTTACGCTCAGAGAAAATGATCTATTAAACAAAATAAAATGAAAGAACAAGGGAGAAATTTTAAATAGGTCAGGAATGCAATAAACTACACCCTCTATGATATATATTAACATTTTCCCCGTAATTATCAATGTATTATGAATTATGGAATATAATGAACTTATGCAATTAGCGATGGAATAGAAGCTTTGTCTTAAATTTTACATACGAGCGAAATCGAATATCTCCGACGCAACTGTATTTTCTATAAATTTATAAAACGATAGTTCAGTTATCATGGTGTTAAAAGAACATGTATTGAGAATGGAATATGACTCATAGTCATACTCTAGTCCCGACATCTCGGGGAACACTCGGCAAACCTCAACAGATTCCAGTACCCTACATCTAATCTCGGCTGTATGACCAAGTCCGCCATTAGAACTACTTTCAAGTTCCCGGATTACAATGGCGTTGTCCATGACGACCAATGATGTCATTGATGACGACGTATTTGAAGAATGTTTTATCTTACAAAATTTTCAAAGTTTGAAGCTGTTTTTCTTTCAAGTTTATCCGATTTTCTTTAAACAAGGACGAATTTGCACTGAAAATTCTACATACTCTTCGAACGACGCAATTTTGAGAACTTCTTTCTAAACGCGGGCAAGTTCCCTTATAAGTAAACCGGTGCCGCATCGCAAATGTATAGGCGTAGGTACATATCACTTACTGTCACACAGCCGAGGCTAGATGTAGGATACCGGAATCTGCCGAGGTTTGCCGAGTGCTCGGGGAACTGTCCGAAAAGCATGTCGTTTCACACAGTACAACATTTACAATGACAGCGGGGCTCGGGGCCTAGTTGGGCCCCCAAACACCCCTAAGTCGGGGACCTCCACAATAAATGCCAGTCGCTCAAAATAAAGTGAATGTAGGATTGAACTGGCGTTAACAAGGGTGATAAATCGGCAATGGAACGTCGAAAACCCAGAGTTCTTTCCATCATGACCAATATGCGTCACACCTAATTTGAAAATATTCGTTTTAATCTGTAGCCCCTAACATGTTAACAAGGTTTTCAGAAAAGGGGTGGTGGTAACGGAAGGTCGTGAATCGCTGAATGTTAAAGGACAATATTGGTGTCAGTCATTATCACATATGTGAGACTGTGAGAGGATATCTGACAATTCATAAAAAGAATTGACTGCCACTAGATAAGAGAACACGAAAAAACCCCAGAAAAAGTCCGTGCAGTACCATGTTTTTATAATGTATGGAATGAATATAAACAAGGGAATGTGCGGACTATTTTTCTCGCGTTCTCTTATCTAATGACATTCAATTACTTAATTTTCAGGTATCCTCTTACAGTCCCATATAACAACTTTTGGTCTTCGAAGGGATTATTAGTGAGCAGAAATTCGGCCGTGTATCTGTTATCACTGTCACATCAGTCAGTTATATAGCGGGATGACTCGTGTTTTCCTTTGGCGTTCGTCACTTCCGATTCAGGAAACCTGTATTACTCAGCTGTCGTAGCAATGATCTCTGTGTTAAAATTATATTTGGAATGTGTTTAACCAGCTCTTTCCAATATGTGATAATGACTTGCACCAATATTGTCCTTTAATAGGGTTCATCCGATCACTACCCCAATGCTCTACACATTAAACAATACAACCTCTATCGTGTTATTGAGCCAAATGTTGATGAATGAAGGAGCGACAGACATAGGTGACGACATAATACACCTTCTCTGAAATGTTGGCGTGTAAAAACAACTACAAAACACAAATTCTTTAGAAAGACATTCTTCGGTGTTGACACCACTCGCCAGATCTAGGGTTACTATAGTTAAAAGTTCGACCGCTTGACACACCGAATACTGTTTTAGTTAAAAACAAATCTAACTAAGATTTGTTGACTATTCTTTGAAACTGTGAAATATTCTACTTCAAGCATAAGCCCGCTTAAACATACATTATGCGAGAGCTAAATCTGGTTATTGCAGGTCTTTCTTTAGGCCTGAAATGTTATCTAAATTATTAATTAGACATTAATTAACCTATCCAGGACATAATCAACTCTAGATGGCAGCGCTAGCCGGCGATCTTTAGTGGATTGTGAGCCGATTTACTGCATTACTTTCCTTCTCGATTTAACGACTAAATGGACTGTAATGAAATGAAATGAAATGAAATGGAGTTTAATGTCCTACTTTTCTGCTCCTAACCTGGGCTAATGAAGACGGGCATACGTCATATAGTGTGCTATAAGGGAAATTTTGCCCGGAAATCGGCACTACGGCCTACTCATATATCGAATTCCAACTGCCAAGGGATCTTTTACGTGCACGCCAATGTGTACACGGGACCTCGGTTTTTCGTCCCATCCGAACGACTAGACAGCTTTCCTTGTCAGCCTCTCCGTCCTGCATCACTGACAAGGGAGAACCACGCCGGAAAATCTGGATGAACTTTCTCGTCCAATGCAGGGATCGAACACCCGACCTCCAGGCTTGCGAAATTTCAGTCGCTTAGTTCTCGGTTCATAGTGGATCAATTTGAATGAAATTTTCAGCAAATTGCCTTTACATTATCTAGTGTTTAACTATTATAGTGAGAACTGCCAACTCGTTACCGAATCTCCCATAATGTATCTTTAATATACATAGTTTAGTTAACAATTTCGGCAGTTTGATCTGCTCATGGAAGAAACTACTCACGCTTTATACCCAGTAGATTACTAGTATGGGGCTTAATACCACTTGAAACATTCTAGAAAAAGGATTACACCTTATTTATATATATATTTATTTGATTATTTGGTGCAAAGTCTATTTTCTGTCTTGTCCGCAGGTTTATCTTGTAGATTTTTGTTTTACGTGCAGTGCGGTCCTCCTGCACTTACTATTATAGACACCACGTGGACTATATGTTCTAAACTACTCTAGGAAGAGACACCAAACGCTTGAAACCCGGTGGACCACCGCAGAACTATTCCAGACCGCCTCTAATTAGATAGGAAATAATAACCGTCACTGTTTAATATATCTAATCATAGTATAGGAATACTATTTACAGCAGCCAATATTTGGGTTATTCAGGAAAACACTAATTATAATACAGGAAATATTTATAAATATCTACGATAACCAACGTTGAATATACTTGCTGTACAAGTATAATGACGAGAAACACCATGCAGATCTACAAAATTGTTATATATTTATATATATCTATTGTATGAAAATGTAGGAATAAAATAAAAAGACTGGCAGCAGTGTGTTAAATACATTTTTAAAATATATTGAGGAAACGTATCACAGTTATTTGCAGTAGGTAATATTGTAGAAACTATCTACAAAGATAATTTTAAATAATAATTTCAGTTTGTTAAAGTACAATGGTATGATTATAATGTAGGAAAAGACCGCAGGGGTCCACAGCTGTTATTGTTAAATATATTCTTGGTAACTTCGATATATCAGGCATTTCAATGGTAATGGAAGCAACTTTTGTCTCTTGCCATTGTATAACGTCCGCTCCTCCTAGCGAAGTTCCTAAACTGACTTCATAATACAGGTTCTTCCATGGGGACGTAAATAAATCTCTCCATGACATTTCCATTGATTTCCCATCAAATGATCTGGCGATTAGTAATTTTGAACCCGCTGAAATATGTAGAATAGTAATAATAGTATCATTATTCATTTAGAATATATCATTCAATATTCACCAGTAGTCACACTGCACAGTCCAATCCAATAAGATTAAGAAAATGAGCATATTTCTAAAAACAGGGCCAAAACAAAGTTCATCAGGTTAAATGCCCTATCGTTGAAAATTTACAGCTCCATAGTTGACCTAAAGTGTTTTGAGTTCATCTGGTTAAATGCGCTATTTTGCAAATTTACAGAAGCATGGTTGCCCTAACTCCACATCGAAATTAAAGATACCTCAAACTGAATCCAATTTCTGACATAATCCAATAAAAAAGTAAAGACTTTTGTTACACTCGAATAATATTACACATCGTATATCAAATTTGAATTTTTTTTTACTGGCAGAATGATTTATACAAACCTTGTAAAATATGTGGTTGTGCTACAGATGATATTACTGTTGATATAGAATTGTCTTGCTTTCCTAATACACTAATGGTAGAAACACTAACATTATAGTTAGAGTTAGGTTGTAGTGATAAACTTCTTAATTTAGCCTGGTTATAACTAATCTCTGTAACTCGAACTTCTTTATCTAAATTATAACCTGGACCATACACCGATACCTGGTAATAAAATACATAAATCTAATATGTACTTGTAATAACCAATATAAGCCGTGTAAAGATGACATGTCTCATATTTGGCTTAAGTTTATTTTAAACGGTTTCCTCCCAGTCAGAGGGGTTATTCTAAACTGAAACACTAAATTATTGTATTATGAACCAGCGGCTGCCAGGCAGGATACGCCCACATTATGGATAGAGAACAAGCTAAGAAGAAAGTGATTTTTCCGACAATCAAGGGCCATAATTCAGGAAATTACAATTCGATATGCGCAAATATCGAAAGGAATCGAGATCTTTGTGTTATAAACTTACATTTCAAGTTTCAACAAAATCGGATAAAAATTGTGACTTCTATAGGGTCCACAACTTTGATATACCCTATTTTTACGCTATTTGAGAACGATTGCGGCCATTTTATCTGTCAGTTTTGGGCTGATTTTCACGAAATTCGAACTCAGTTGTCCTTAGGGTGTAACGGTGATATAATAATACAGTTTTTTAAATCGGATAAAAATTATGACCTCTATAGGGTCCAGAAGCTAAAAACTCGATTTTTCATACAATGAGGGGCCATAATTCAGGAAGTTACGGTCCGATAGGCGCGAATATCGACAGAAACCAAGATCTTTGGGTTATAAACTTACATTTCAAGTTTTAACAAAATCGGATTAAAATTGTGACCTCCATAGGGTCCACAACCTTGATATACCATATTTTTACGCTATTTGAGAACGAAGGGCGACCATTTTGTCTGTCAGTTTTGGGCCGATTTTCACGAAATTCGAACTCAGCCATCCTTAGGGTGTAACAGTGATAAAAAAATACGTTCTGTTAAATCGGATAAAAATTATGACCTCTATAGGGTCCACAAGCTAAAAACGCGTATTTTCGTACAATCAGGGGCCATAATTCAGGAAGTTACGATCCGATATGCGCAAATATCAAAAGGAACCGAGATCTTTGGGTTATAAGCATACATTTCAAGTTTCAACAAAATCGGATAAAAATTGTGACCTCTACAGTGTTCACAAGGTAAAAACATGATTTTTCGTACAATCAGGGGCCATAATCCATGAAGTTACGGTCCGATACATGCCAATATCGAAAGGAACCGAGATCTTAGGGTGATAAACCTATATTTCAAGTTTCATTAGAATCAGATAAAAATTGTGACCTGTAGACTGTTCACAAACAATTGTGGACGGACGGACGGACAGGGGCGACGACAATATACGTCCACATGAAAATGTGGGCGTATAAAAAGACACTGTTAATTCTAGGCGCTCAAATGTGCACAGATAAGTGTTAAAAGTCCACTTATCTGGAATTTCTCCTTTTCTTAAAATATATATACCTGTATAGACTTGGTATCAATTCTGGTATTTTCTAAATCCCATTTTAATCGTAAACTATCAGTCAATGGATAACAATCATCCTTCACCGAATATGCGGATACTCCATCTTCATCAATGGCGATCTGACCGTCTGCTATGGCAGCCATTTTGATTATAACCAGAACGCCATCGGTAGTAGCTGTAGTTGGTAAACCAGCTTTATTATAACATCTTACAGTAGAATAAACTTGTTTAGAGTTCTGTATTTGATTAACACTGAGTTCAACTTGAACAAATGATTGTTTATCTGGTACAGGAGTAAATGGCTGTATATCAACACCGCCGTGCCTTGAACCTTGTATATAAAACATTAATTGATCAATGTATACACGTTGTGAATAATCAAATAACCTACATGTAGTCTAGTTGATACAAGTAATAGATTGTATGTTGCAGAAATTAACAATAATTACAATCAACATTCGACCTTTGTTACATAGATATACGCCATTCGTTGCATGTTGTAAAGCAAAATTAACTTGGGTTTAACATCCTACTGTTCTGCACTGGCTGGGCTAATAAAGACGGTATTCGCCAAAAGGTCTACTACGAGGGGATCTTGCCTATAACCGATTAACAAATTACGTTATTACAACGTTGAAAATTGTAAAGTATTACCTATAGCCCAATGACAATATTCTACTCCTGATTCTGGATCTCCTACTTTCCAATTAACTGATATAAGTTTGGTTAGCTGGAAATTTACATCATTCTCTAAAATGATCAAAACATATTTAATTCAACAAAAGAGAAAGCCAAGTTAATGTATTAAACAAGAAACAATTTTTGGGGCTATCGAGATTATGCGAATTCTGTTTTCATCCGTTATGTGGGTTTGATACGAACCAAAGATTAAACCTTCGACAATGTTAACTGTGATTTGGTTTAGTAAACAGTACAATCCTGCCAAGTAATTACCAAGTTTCAACCCTGAACTTGGTGTTGATAACCATTCTGAATAGATTTTATTTAAATAGCCGATTTTTCATTGTGGTGGTCAATAATATTTTTCCATTAAAGTACCTCAGAATAATCATTTAATTTCTTACCTATACCATCGTTTATCTCTGATATTATTGACGGAGTCATATCGACAACAATACTCGCTGATTGGCTGACAGTTGTCAGTCCGACGCCATTGGTTGACATCACAGTCAGATAAAGTAGTGTATTATGGGCTAATTTTAGACCGGATGCTGTAGCTTGTTGATTTCTGCCAACACTTGTGAACGCCCGAATCTGGGTTCCACCTTGCACAGTTCCTGAAATTAATATAATTGCTTATTGAAAACCGTTGCCAAAACAGTAAACGATTTGCTATAACTAAATACCTACATGATTTAAACACTATTGTATTACTTAATTATAGTCACTGATATATTTACATATAGTAGTACATGTATTCAAACTACTCACCTAGTGCCCATTGATAATCTGTAATAGGACTTTGATCATCTTTAAAATGCCAGGTAAGATGAAGAGATGACCAATAAGGTCTAAACACTGTATGGTGTATTAAATGATTAGAGTCACTTGTTATATCTATATAATTAACTTGTTGTACATATACATCATCTACAGCTAATATCATATGTAATTTACTTGTACCAATTCTTATCACTTCTCTTGCTTCTCTTGGATGGAATACATAAGTAAATTTATTCCATAATATTAATGGCTGTTGGTCGATGTCACATATCCCCTGACATCGTTCTGGGTCAAGGCTGAAAGTGTGAATTTCTTGTCCGAATTGCACGAAACCTTCCACGTTGTCATGCTGAATGCTAACATCATGTGGATATCCAACATGTACTATAACATGGTAAGCACTTTGGGTGTTTAAATAAAAAACTGTTTGTTGAATATGACCTTTCACTTTAATATAGGCTCCACCCTCTTTTGAAACGGAAGGTGGTGATTGGATGATTTTAATACACGAGGTGGAGTCAATATACCAAGGAGCTGGTGGTTGGTCATCACATTCCTTATTTGATTCTGTCACGCCTTCTTCAAATGATGGATTGGCGATGAGATTTTCTCCAATATAATCTATATCAACCGGTACTGGGGGCGTGGTATCAATTGTAGTACCATCAGACACTGCTACATCAGATTTTAACCCACTCCCATCTACAGCATACACTTTATTATAAATTTTCATACCTATAAAAATAAAATAGAAATGTCGTATTTGTTATAGTGACAATAGATCACATTTGGAAACAAAAAATTCAGAAACCCATTTATTTTGCAAGAGATGGCGTGAGGCGTTATGGGGTGGCCTTGAGGTATATTATATTTGAGCAGACTCTTTCCTCAGACAGTTAAAGAGATATCTTGTCCACTATACTACAATAGAGGACCAGTATCGCGCGTGTCTAGGCAAGACGAAAATATGACGAGTGATATATCCCTACTGTAGTATATATAATGTCACGATAATGAAAGGATTTTTATTTAATCATTTCAATCTATATCTGGTGGAAATTGAGATTTTATTCAATTAATATGGAAACTTTAGAATGCCTACCATGATTTAAAGGTGAGGTTAGGTTTACAGACACTCTAGTATTTAATCCTACATTCTTCCAGTCGTGTATATTACAATCTGTAGTACTAATATCAGTACCAATACACCAGTAATATTTCACTATACCAGTACCACTATCAGTAAAACCATACCATGATGAGGATATAACTGTTGTAGAGTATTGGTAATCTTTATCATAGATATCTGTAAAATTTGAATTAATAAGAGACCATATCCGCCAATTTATCATGGTTGTTTATAAAAAGCTGGAAATTTCTTTGCGAAATATGAAAATACGTACCAGATTTTAAAAAATTAAAATCGGCTAAATAAGTATAATGTGCCCCCCCCCCCCCCACACACGCACACACACACCCCCCCCCCCCCCCAAAAAAAAAAACGAAAAAAAAACCAAAACAAAAACAACAGAACCCACAAATTGTAATTCTTCTACTTGGAAAGATCACGACTTTTATGCAAAGCGACAAAGATAACTGAAACTTTGGAGAATGATCGTACACAGAATTAGTTCAAGTAATTGGGGGGGGGGGGGGTACCCTATATTCAATAATTTCAATAGATCACTTACCATTACCATCATGTATAATACCGGAAGTGGGAGTTGTATTGTCTATTAATATTCCATCACTATTGGCCCAGCTCAATAATCCTGCTTTATTATAAGCTAGTACAGTACTATAATATTCTCTATTCTCTTGTAGATTTAGATTAGTAGCTGTATAGATACTAATATTCCCAGCTACTCTTGTAGATGACTGATGAACGTTGTGGCCTACATTTCAGAGAAAAAAACAAGACCGCTATTGATTACATTATTAAAAATGATAAAGATAAAGAGCTAACAGTACTCGCTATAATGGTTTCAAAATAGATAATGAAAAGGCGATTATATTGAAAATTTCAGTCAAAATTCTCTATTCTGGGGTAAGTTATCAGTGTTTGCGGTTTTACTAAGAATAGAGTGGTCTCGAATTTTATTGCTGCCATTGTTACGATAATAAACAATGTCTCGATTATCGTACTTCAAATCATCATATTCAGATTATCTAGGTGGTTGAATACAGGCTTTTCATGTGAATAAATGCATTTAAGGCCCCCGGAAAGATTTGCAATAGGAAGATTTAACTGTTATATATACTATTCAAAAAAAGTAGGGGATATTTGATTTTTATGTGTTATTAAAGTCACCTAATGAAACTGACGAAGAAACAAATGACAAAATGAAATGAAGTTCACATTCATCGATTTATTCCAAATGATCGTTAGACTAAGTAAGGCACAGACTGACCATTATAAGGGTAAAATGATACCCGGGGTCAAACAGCAAAGTTACCACAGCATCACAACCAAGTCAGTAACGGGTAAATCCTCCCCTGTTTGCCAAACAAGCATTGATCCGACGTGGCATACTCCTAATGAGACGTCTAAGGTCATTTTGGTCCAGATTGTTCCATTCCTGTTGCAACGCAGCAGCAAGCTCTTGGACATTGGCAGGACGTTGTTGACGTTGACGTAATCTCTGTCCAAGCATGTCCCAGACATGCTCGATGGGGGAGAGATCGGGACTCAGTGCTGGCCAAGGTAATGTGGTGATGTTCTGTTGTTGGAGGTAACCTGTAACGATCCTGGCCCTGTGACATCTTGCGTTGTCATCCTGGAAGATGAAACGGCGGCCATGACGTCGTGCGAACGGCACAACATGGACTGCCAAGATGTTGTCCCGGTAGTACTGGCCTGTAACACGCCCTGCAACAACATGTAAAGCCGTTCTTCCAGCAACAGTGATGCCTCCCCACACCATAACAGAACCACCCCCAAATCGATCATGTCTGATGACGTTAACGTCTTGGAAGCGCTCGTTTCGACGACGCCACACCCTCCTACGTCTGTCCAAAAAATCAACAGTGAACCTTGACTCATCTGAAAACATCACATTGCTCCAGCGTCGATTATCCCAGTGTTGACGATCCCTACTCCAACGACGTCTTGCCTGAATGTGATGATCTCTCAAACAAGGGATCACGCGAGGACGTCGGGCGCGAAGGTGACCCCTATGCAGTCGATTCCGAATCGTCTGGCCACTCACTCTCACACCAGTGTCTGTTTGAAGACGAGCGCTGGTCTGATTTGCTGTGATGACACGATTTCTCAAGGCCAAGGTACGGATAAATCGATCCTGGGCTTGAGTTGTCGCCCTTGGTCGACCTGAGCGTGGTCTGTCCTGTACAGATTGTGTATCACGGTATCTGGACCATAGCCTGCTTATGACAGACTGAGAAACATTCATCGTCCGCGCCACAACCGCCTGTGTTGTGCCGATCTGTAGCATGCCAAGGGCACGTAACCTTTCATTTTGGGTAAGCCGACGCATATCAAAATTTGTTTTCTGGTCACTAAAACAATTAAACTGATGTTTCCACCCTGGAATTCAATGCCACAATGACTGTAACATTCAAAGTCAGAGTCGTGCAAATCTTGGGTTGGACCCCCATGATGATCCCAAGCATCACCTGCATTCCATGCGGTAGCTATTGGTGCGTTTGGGCGTCACATGTAACTGGAAATGTTTCTTCTGTTAGGTTCTATAATGACTTTTTTCGTAGTCATTTGTATATTTTAGTATTATGCCCCCAAAATCAAATATCCCCTACTTTGACGGAAAAACAGTTAATATTTGGGACTCATTAATTCGCATCGATGTCATCCTTATCAGTGATTGTAGCGGCCTAGCGAATATTCACTTCTGATCAGTGTGGGGGATATCATGTAGGTTTGTTGGGAAAAATCGTTTAAGTTGAAGAGCTACCATCTGGATTCATTCTTGTTCCCGGTAGACAAACTTTTTAGCGGCTGAGATAAAAAAATGAATACACTACGTGAGTCCTAGCCAAAGGAAGAGAATTACCAGCGGCTGCCAGGCAGGATACGCCCACATTTTCGAGAGATGGATAGAGAACAAGCTAAAAAGAAAGTGATTTTTCCTACAATCAAGAGCCATAATTCAGGAAATTACAATTCGATATGCGTAAAAATCGAAAGGTACCAAGATCTTTGTGTTATAAACTTACATTTCAAGTTTCAACAAAATCGGATAAAAATTTTGACTTCCATAGGATCCACAACCTTGATATACCATATTTTTACGATATTTGAGAACGAAGGACGGCCATTTTGTCTGCCAGTTTTGGGTCGATTTTCACAAAATTCGAACGCAGCCGTCCTTATGGTGTAACGGTGATATAAAAATACGTTTTTTTTTTTTTAAATCGGATAAAAATTATGACCTTAATAGGGTCCACAAGCTAAAAACGCGATTTTTCGTACAATCAGGGGCCATAATTCAGGAAGTTACGGTCCGATATGCGTGAATATCGAAAGGAACCGATATCTTTGGGTTATAAACTTCCATTTCAAGTTTCAACAAAATCGGATAAAAATTGTGACCTCTATAGGGTCCACTACCTTGATATACCATATTTTTACGTTATTTGAGAACGAACGGCGGCCATTTTGTCTGTCAATTTTTGGGCCGATTTTTACGAAATTCGAACTCAGCTGTCCTTAGGGTGTAACGGTGATATAATAATACGGTTTTTTAAATCGGATAAAAATTATGACCTCTATAGGGTTCACAAGCTAAAAACGCGATTTTTCGTACAATCAGAGGCCATAATTCATGAAGTTATGGTCTGATATGCGGGTTATAAACTTACATTTTAAGTTTCAACAAAATCGGATAAAAATTGTGATTTTTCGTACAAACAGGGGCCATAATCCATGAAGTTTCGATCCGATGCATGCCAATATCGAAAGCAGACGAGATCTTTTGGAGATAAACCTATATTTCAAGTTTCGTCAAAATCGGATAAGAATTGTGACCTGTAGAGTGTCCACAAACAATTGTGGACGGACGGACGGACGTCTGGACGGACAGGGGCAACGACAATATACGTCCACATGAAAATGTGGGCGTATAAAAAATATAACCAGAGACAATACTAGACAACCACAAGACTAAAATAATGTGTAGCAGGAGAGAGTATGCGTCACACATTCGTTGTGAGGCGTTTTTGGCACGTGGGCTTTCCACATCTAACCAGCGACGCATATCGTTACATTACTTTAATTTCGAATAATCTAAAGTGTAATTTGTTTTTCAAAATTTAGTCAAAATTTTCATCCGTTGCATAGACATCGGATACTTAGAATGAAAGTATTATTGGTCGTATCTTAACAGGCAGATATAAACCTTTACATTAAATTATTAGAGCATGTTGTCTACTCCATGCATAATATACACAAATAGTTTAATACCCGCATAAGTGAATCAAATACAATAGCGTTCGCAAATAGTTAGATTTCATGAACCTACGCGTTGTTTAGAGTGTGATCTCTCAAGGTTAGACAACCTAAGGAAATTCGATGAGTAAATCTGTTTCATGGGTTTATAAAAGATCGAATAGGTATTTCGTTTTAGTAAAAGCTAATTGCAATCAATGATTAAATTCATTGGTGAACTTATTTGACATGTACAAAGTGTGAAACAACACGTTGTGTATTAAATTGGATTTAGAAATGGGCTTAGAAATAGAACTGACACATGCAAGGATTTTAACTTTTTAACCCGATATTGAACTTGGTCTGCTTGCAAGCAATTGTAAATTGTAATTACTAAAAAAATTGTAGATGGCAGGTACACGTGACAAAAGTAGGTTTAATTACGTTAATAAAATGCCAAAATGTGTCTCGATAATCGTGACGATCTTTTACCACTGTAACATTGGCAAAAATATACCTATGGTTACACTGCGTGGAATATGGGGACTTATTATAGCCAACCTGTCATGGGAAGTGGATGTTTGTAATTCCTAGAAAAAAAGGGTAGTTGCAATGATATTATCATTTTAAAAGATTTTGAAAAAGAAATGTGATCTTTGAAATGTTTGTATAATTGACAGAATCAATGATATTTTAAAATTCCCGTCATAATTACAATATTATGACGGTTGGATCTCTTAAAAAGTATATCAATCCAAACATGGTAGGTACAAAGAAGGCAATGATTTTTTTTCACTCTCCACCCTCTGCAGACGATGTATACATGGCGGCACCACGTAAATTCTTCTGAAGCGCCCCGTTCAATCCGATTAAACCCAGGCCAGAATAACATGCCGATATCATTTAATTTAAAAATCATTCTATGCAATCAATTTCAACGTAGATTAAACTGTTAAAATTTAGACATTCTTCAAATCAAAAACAAAAAAAACAAAAAAACAAAAACAAATGAAGACCAGCGGCTTTAAATATTTTTCTGATCAATTGTAAAATCATCTAATTAGAATCCCCTACTTGCTGTTCAAAATTAACTGATTGATCGAACTTTTATTGTTTTTTTTACACAGGTCACAACTCTATGGAATACCTTTACTCCATATTACTGAGGAATATTTTAACAAGGCTTCTCTAGTCTTTCTCAAACAAATGATACGATATAAAATGTATAACGAGAGAATATATACATGTAGAAACAAAACTTAGCCGAGAACTGATTTATGTTTTAATCTTAATTAATCAACCTGTCAATAATATCATGTATAATGTATTGGAAGTTCAATTTGTTTGATCAGAGTTTGATACATATTAAATGTGTTATCATTAAAGCCATTCTAAAGTAAAAATTGGTATTTCAGACCACTTTAATTTGATTATGATTAATACACAGATAAATATGCCAATAACATTGGATTAAAATGACGGGCCGTT